GAGAGAGAGAGAGAGAGAGAGAGAGAGAGAGAGAGAGAGAGAGAGAGAGAGAGAGAGAGAGAGAGAGAGAGAGAGAGAGAGAGAGAGGCATAGCTAAGATGTCACACAGGCCATGATATCAGAAGAGCTGCTATGGGCCTCGCCGCACCAGTGACCAATCATGAAAGAAACAAAAAAAAAAATGGCAGGTGTATCTTTCCGAGTTCTGGGGGAAGATACATTTCATTTTGCACATTTGGTGAGTGGTGTGACAAGGCCCTATCTTGCATGGGAGACACCAAAGCACCAGAAAAAAGCAAAGCAAAGCAAAGGAACATGGATTTGACAACCCTATGACGGCCACACTCATATTGGGACTTTTCCGGTGTAGGGCCTTACCCTGTTAGACTTTCTCTGTCGTGCACAACTTGGCTATATACAGGCTCTCAAATGCCGGAACGTTATTCGGGACCCACAGGTCCCGACACCGGACACATCTGTTATCTCATGCACAAGTACTATCAGAAAACTCTTGGGCCCAAGTCCCACTGGGCCTCGCTGCTACGCCTGACACATGCAAAAAATCAAGAGTACGTCTAGCGCTGTCAGACTCCTGGATTGGCACATCAAGTGCTGTTGTCGCTGCACTTACTCCGGACTCTCGACTCTTGTGAACATTCTTGACTGAAGTACTTGTGCATGGAAGTACTTGACATCAAGTGCATCAAGTGCTGTCGTCGCTGCAGTTACTCCAGACTCTCGACTCTCGTGAACATCCTTGACCGTCTGACGGAAGTTCGAGAAACTGAAAAGAGACTACACAACAGGGCAGCGACGATTAATCCACCGAGACTGGAGGCCAACCCTCGAATTTGCAAATCGCAAGATGGGTCCGGTCGGCCTTGTTTGAAAAAAAAAGCCCCTGCAGGCGGGAACTGTGGAAGCTTCAAGAGCTCGTCCGAAGGGCCATTTCTGAAACCTCTTGAAGAGCCGGATCAAGAGCGCTTTTCCACAGTTAGTGCAGCCATGACTCACTCTCGACATTTTCCAGAGTGAATCTGACAGCTCTTGAATCGAAATTCAGGACGGGGCGTCAAGAGTTTAACTTAGTGCAGCGTTGAAGACCTCTTGATTTCTCAAGATTCAAGAGTAGTGCAGCGAGGCCCATTATCTGTATCCCTCATTTCTCAACCAGAGCCAAGTCCCACCCACAGCCAAGTCCCACCCACAGCCAAGTCCCACCCACAGCCAAGTCCCACTTACCTGTATCCTTCATTTCTGACCATAGATTTCAGACATCAACGGTCAGAAATGAAAAAAATTGACAAGTGGCCCTTAGCTGCAGGTGTGAGTATCGCTGAAGTCTTTTTTTTTCGCCTAAGTTCTATTTTGTTCTTACATCTATCCGTTTGAAAAGGAAGCGGCTTCCTATACGGCAGTATAGGAAAATACCGCAATCCTATACTGCAGACAGTGCAGAGTCTTCTCATCATCATTTCATACAGTCACCAAAGTTCGAACTTCGGATGCATCGCTTGTGAACCAAAAGTGATGGGCTTGTGTGTACGTGAAGACCATCTGTCGCCCAGATACAAAGAAGTGTGAATTTCTTCTTCTGTCTTCTTTTGCCACATACCTAGAGTGTCATTGTCCACAATAAGATCACTGTCTCTCACTTGACATATTCTCTTTCAAGTCTTTCAAGTGACAACGTCTTCAACTATCTGTCGCCCGGGTAAGCAGCAGTGTGAATTTCTTCTTCTGTCTTTTTTTGCCACATACCTAGAGTGTCGTTGTCCACAATAAGATCACTGTCTCTCACTTTAAGGTAGACATGTTCTCTTTCAAGTCTTTCGAGTGACGACGTCTTCAACTCGATTGCTGGCAGGTCCTGCACAGACGTCCCAGAAGCAAACAGTCAATACGGCACATCAACACGCGGCAGCCGCTGTGCAGAATGAAAGTGGAACGAAAAATGTAAACGTCAGCAAGGCGATAAGGGAGCAACTTACCCTCAAGCCAACTTAAACCAGCACTACCTGGGAGGCCGCATTTCTCCCCAAAGTAGTGACTGCAGCAGGCCTTGAGTTTCTCCTCCCTGGCTGCCAGAGACTGGCTGTGCATGGATTATCAATATGCAACAGCCACTGTACAGAACGAGCGTGGAGCAAACAATGTAAACGCCGGCAAGGAGACAAGGGACCAGCTTACCTTCAGCCAACGTAAACCACCACCACCTGGGAGACCTCCTTTTTTCCCAAAGTAGTGACTGCAATAGGCCTTGATTCCCCTCCCTGACTGCCAGAAGCTGGCTGAGCGTGGATTACCGCCTCCCCC